CCATAACATTGATGTCACCAGTTCCATAAATCATCAAATACGCTAAACTGGACCCCTTTTCCAACATTAAGCTGTGCACACATTAAATCAAATCAATCTGCCAAACTAAAATCATCATAATTTGTAGAATATGCATATCTATCTGACAAGTATATGGTCTCTACCTTGTGAGTATCCAATAGTCTTCCTACATAGCGGGTCCCTTCATGACTAATTGAAACTCCGTACTCATGTGTGCGGAGTTTGAATTTATTCCAGAAGAATACTGAAACACTTGGTCATTTGATTTACTGGATGTTCTAGGCCGGAGAAGTCTGAGCTGAAGAGGTCCATGGACTGGTCTATGGGACTGAAATATAGGGTTAGGGGTCTGCACGAACCTTGCGTTGCCCGTGTCGCCGCCAAACCTAACAAAGAAAAGAAGCAAAAGAAAGAGGTAGTATAAACGATGTACCTTCGTTCCTCAGGCATCGTAATGAGAGATCAGTGGTGGTTGTTCAAGCCCGCTGCATATGTAAGTTACGTGTGTCTGGCTCATCCTTGCCGCTTTGCTGATGCATTGGTGGTGTCTTGGTTGCCACAAAGTGAGTCCACCTTTGTGGCTTGTTACATCACTGGCATGATCACCATATCTCAGAAAAGGTGGTGAAATAGCTCTTGAAGCCCCCAATCCCCCTTGTTGTCTTCCTATCATGCATGTACCTACTGAGTGCACTTATGCTTTGCATTCGAGGAGGACCATCATGGGGTCTCCTCTGTCCCCCCATACCCAGACATTCTCATCCTCTCCCTCACCTCTGCCTTACTCTCCGCATTCAACTAAGAAGATCAAGAAGGACAAGAAGGAGATCCCCAAACACCGAGCTCGCAAAATGTATACTATGTGATCCTTACTGTCTTGACTGCACACTCATCATGTAAATTTCGTGACTTTGTCGTAGAGGCAAGGCCAAGGCCACTCCAGAGGTAACATTTACACCCGGGTACGAGTCCACTGTTCACATATTCTACCATACTCTTCTCATGATTTTCAACTGCATTCTTCCTCAACAGAGACAATTCTTCCGCCATTGAGGAAGCAGCATCCACAGTTCAGCAGCCCTCCATCTTACCTGGGATTTTCAAAGCCCTCCAGGTTCGTGCATCTCATAGTATTGTATGACTCGTCTGTTTCTGATTTAAAAATTAGGATCCTGCTGCGGTGAAAGCACTGATTTCTATCCTCATGGAGCAAAACTCGAGCCTTGATGAAAGGCTTGAGAAGGTAAATTTATGTCCTCTGTATTGTGAATCACACATTTACTGGACAAAATCAGGTCAGGGTCACTACTATAGAATCTGTATCATGCCCTCTCTGTTATGATGTTGCAGTAAAGCCTTACTGGTACGGATGTTTCTTCCGTGTTTTGACGAGGTGTGACGACTCATGCTTGAGTTCTTGAAGCCTCCCTTTGTGCAGTCATGCATATTGTTACCCCTGCCTTCGAAGGCTCTTCGGGAACACCATCATAATACATGCCCTCCTCGACGAGGACGTCCCATCTGATCTCAAGGACCTCATCCAGTCCCAGAGTCCAGATGGACCATTATTGGATGTCCTGAGGACGTATTTCCTGAAGCAGAGGTTTCCTTGCTCTTCTTGCCCCCTCTGCTGGGTTGAGATTCATGCTGTGCCCATTCAGGTAGTGGTGCTGACTAACACAATCATCAACTTGATGAGGGGCACCACGATGAACGAGGAGCACTCTGATATTTGCTACATCCTCGAGACTGGGTCATTTAAGGACATATTTATTTACTAGCTTTTTGTTATCCTTCTTCCATCCCATAAAATATTACGAACCAACGTCCACTTACATGTCCCAGTTCTCCTTCATGACTACTTATGACTGTTCACCCTTTTTGACGATAATCTTGCACAAAATCTACCTCCAAGTTGACGTTCTCTTCAGCTTTTCGTCCCAAAGACTTCTCGTTATCTCTCTTTGCCTTATAATCAAATTGATAGTTATTATGACTGCTCGGGATGTTGCCCACATATACTGCCGGTTCCTCTTGCGTGGTCGTTTGCCATTAGCAAGACTAAATGGCCCTACTGAAGCACTTATTTTGGTAGAGAAGAGGATGGCGCAACAGGTCACTGAAATTGGTTACGAGATCGCTGTATGGTATTGAGCAACGCTCGCCTCAGCTTCAGATTCTTAGGCTATCGTGCATGGAAAAAGTCGATACGTGTAAGCCTGAAGCATCAGACTTGGAGCCAGAGCCAAGGTCATCAGAAACACATTTTCAGTTGATGTGGTGCCAGTAGAGCGTTTTCGCAACCGGGCCAAACAGCTGTTGATGTGACAGCAACAGAGCAAGTTAGCACAGGCGCTTCGTGGGCATCATGATGAAACCATCCCTCGGAAATGCTCCATGCATGGTTCACGCTTGTGTCCCCTGCAAACAAAATATTCTGAGCACATTTATGACTACCAGGATGTGTAGACAGTGCAATACGCTACATGTGCTGTCAGTTTTCCGGAATTTTCTAGAGGGAATTCACCGCAGAATATGTGCTTGCCACAAAGGTGACTAGGTGGACACTTAGCCGTGGGAAGTGCCCATGAGTGTAACTGATTCTGAGGAACAAGTTGCCGTATCCATATCACGGTGTACCACACTACTCTTGTTGGCATCAGGGTGCTTCTGGAGCAATTCAGAGTGGATCAGAGTGAATTCTCAAAGAAAATGAGGCAGAAGACAGTGTACGGCAACTATAGCTCCAGACAGATCATTTTACTCGGAGATAGCCCGAAGGTACCTAATAGTTGGAAGAGGAAGGAAGAAAAAATATTGACCCTTCCGATTCGCTCATCACTTAGAAACATCAAGAACCGCCAATCTGGTACCCTGTGCTTTGTTTCCAGCAAGACGAAATCATTATGCAGGGTGGTTTGCAGCATGACATCATCCCATCCTCCTTTTTCCCCCTCCCAAATAAATTATGTCCTGTTCCAACTCCTGCGGCCATATATATGCCAACCTCAAACCTGGAGCCCCATTCCATTGATCCAGTGCATCCTTACAAGTCAGCTCTTCTCTATACGTTCTCAATATGACCATCACCCATGTCATGACCTTCCGTCATTTCTATCCCTTTTTCATTATTTCCTGGTGGGTGCCACAGTTAGGCCACACTTTTCCGAGTTTCTGTGGCCTGGGTTTGGTTGTGTTTAGTTCTGGCTAGTATACAAATCTACCTACTTCCTGTTTTGTACTCTAGTCTTGAGATCGTCAATCCCCCCCCCTATACAACCTTTTCCTCGCCCTTGGTGTGTGTTTCTGAGTGAGAGATTGCCTGCCAGCAACCCCTCTTTGTAGGACATGGTTGTTCTGGTGTGGTCGTGACAACCCACTCTCGTTCCAGCAAATCAAGCATTAGTGGAGATGCGACCACCCTTCCGGACTCCCACTACGTGTCATGACCACACCAGAACAACCATATCCTACAAAGAGGGGTTGCTGGCAGGCAATCTCTCACTCAGAAACACACACCAAGGGCGAGGAAAAGGTTGTATAGGGGGGGGGGGATTGACGATCTCAAGACTAGAGTACAAAACAGGAAGTAGGTAGGTTTGTATACTAGCCAGAACTAAACACAACCAAACCCAGGCCACAGAAACTCGGAAAAGTGTGGCCTAACTATGGCACACACCAGGAAATAATAGAAAGAGGATGAAAATGACGAAAGGTCATGACACCACAAGTTCCAAACCTCCAATAGTGTCCGCTTCGGTGGGGTTTATTTAGTCCTTGATATTCTTCATCTCTCTAACATTGTGCGTGTCTTCCTCCAGGCGGCGATATCTAACCTGTTTGTCACACAGCTTCGCG